GAAACGACGATAGGTGATGCGTCGCTTCTTACAAAGGGTGAGGTGCCGGTGCAGCACGCATGGTGGCCGATGCAGCGACTGTCACAGACGCACACGAACTCCTGAAGAGTCACCGAAAGGGTGGGTGCAGTGCAGGTGAAAATTGAAGTAGCAACTGAAACTATTTTTGAAAGATGTATTAGGGTTTGTTGGGTGGGGTGGAGTGTGGGGCGGGTGCGTTTGGGGTTTGGGTGTGGATTAATTTAATTTTTAAGTATTAAAAATTTAAAGTATTACCTGATTTTTGAACATAAAATTTTCAAATATGATTTTTGAATTAGGAATTTAAAAACCATGGTTATGTGTAATTTCCAATTTTTTTATTTTTGCAAGAATAAATGATAAATAATAACTAACAAAAAGGGCAGAAACGTTCATGTAAAAGTCAAAAAAAAAAAATGAGAATATCAATTTCTTTTTGAAAATATTATTCAAATAAATATTGAAAATATAATTCAAACATTATTTATTGTAATTTTTCATTATGTAAATATAATTCTAACATTATTTATTATTTCAGTTGTTGAAGTGCCGATCGCTCCATCCATGTAAATTTTCATTATAATGATTTAAAATATTCAACTAAATAAATTTTTTTTGTTAATTAACCTTTTTATAAATAAAATACTATTTTAAAATAATAGTTTGTCAGGTTACTCTTTTAACAACTCTTAACTAGCGTATATGCCAACAAATAAATATTTCACTTATTTCTTTCAATTGATCTCATATAGTGTGACGTCGACGTGCCGCATCCATCAAGCTCGCGGTGACTTGAATTGTATTTTATTTAATATTATCATTGAGAAGCATATCGCATATACTTTATAATTGGAGTAAGTGAATATTATCGTTGCAAAAAAATAGATGCACTTTCTGAACACAGAATCGAGAGTTTTTTCAAGAAAGAGTTTGTTCCCTTAAGCTCGTGTTTGGTTTGAATAAAAACTAGATTTTTAATAGATTTTGATAAAAGTTAATAAAATGAGTTGATAAAAATCGTGAATCTCGTGAAATGTATAGTTGAAAATAAGTTTGGTAAAATGAGTTTTAAAAAATTATGACCAAACAGGTGCTAAGATAGGTCGACAAAGTCAAACGGTAGAAAAATGATAAACGGAAAGAAGAAAGTTCTCACCAAGCCTGGCATGAGAAACAAAGGGCCACCATAATCAGCAGGCCAGTGCCCATCTTCAACCTGAAGAGTTGAATAGAATCTTAAGGCCCTTTTCAATGTAATTTCCACTGCTTCAACTGTTATTTCTTCTTCACTTTCTACTTTAACCTGCTGCAGCAACTCTACCTCAGCAGGATTCTCCTTTGCAAGCTGTAAGAAAAAGTTATGTCCATTCACAAACACACCCTAAGAGCACTATTCTGTTTAGTCGAGCATACCAAGCATGGTCCTACTCAAGAAAAATGCGTGATTAAGGGAAGTTTAACTTAAGATGGATTGGTTGTCACCTGAAATCGCAATAGCAAATCAGAACTATGTTTCATATTATAACGGTTGTTGTGAAACTCCTTGCGAATCTTTTCAATGGCAGCTTGTTCTTCGGGTGTTCCTAGGTTAGGATCAAATTCCCAGTACTGTCTACCAGAATGGTTATTTACACTTGTAAGCCATGGATCATCCCCTTCTGAAACTTTAAGCTTCCACATTTTCTCTCTTCTTCCTTTTGAGTATTTTGATCAAAATCCTACTATAACTAGTTGAACTATATATAGGATAAGGTGGAGGTTGTCATTGCTTGAGAGTAGATAAGGAAGAGAAGTTTTCATGAGAAAATAAGTAGCAGATTGAAGAAATTATGAGATTGAATTAAGTGTTGAACTTTGGAACACGTGTGAAGAAGGATTCTTTGAGTCGCGTGTATTTATAATTGGTGGAGTCACGTCCAGACATGGAGATAAAGGTGAATATTGTGAGCTATCTTCGGATATTGGACCTACAAAGATCGTGAATATGATCCAGTAGCATATAAACGCTTCCAATATATAATTAGCTCGTTTGAGTGAACTCAAAGTAACTTAAAATGTGCGCTTGTTAAAACTTTTCAAGAAAGCTACCTTTTAAACAATTGGTAGACTCACTTTCACGGAGGGAGATAAACGTCAATATAGTGAACTATCGTGGGATATTGGATCTATAAAGATCGTGAATATGATCGAGTAGCATAATAAATGCTCCCAATTTACAATTAGCATGTTTGGGTGAGTTTAAAGTAACTTAAAACGCGGACTTTTAAAAACTTTATGTGAATAAGGATTCTTTGAGTCGCGTGTATTTACAGTTGGTGGAGTCACGTCCACGGTCCATGCATAGATATAAACATGACATTGTTAGCTATCTCAGTAGCAAAATAAATGCTTCCAATATACAATTAGCATGTTTGTGTGAGCTTAAAGTAACTTTAAAGGTGAGTTTTTTAAAAAATTCAAGAAAGCCACCTTTTAAGCTTGTTTGAACATGCCTTGCATGTTCAATCAACTATTAATAAAGAGTAATGTTATTTATTAAATGATAGATTCATTTAAATAAAAAGTCATATGATTCATTTAATTGAGTCTATCATTTAGCTCCTGTTTGGCTCTCATTCTCAATCTCATTTTTTCTCTTTCTTCGTTTCAACCACACATTCTCTCAATAAAATAATATTACGCACAAATTTAAAATTTTTCGTAACTTTTCCACCACACATTCCCCCATCAGTCACTATTCCAAAAATTATATTCTTCAATAAATGGGTGTCAAACAAAGGTTTAATGTCATGTAATTGCCACATAAATTGGGGTTTAACCCCGATGAGGATGAATAACATTATTCATTAGTAAATGACTCCTTGTTGTCTTTCGACCTATTTAAATATTAAATTTGAGAATTAAAATATTCACAAGATTTGTATGTTTCTTAAGATCCAAACTGTATGGTGGAGACCCTCAAGAAAAAATGTACAAATTGAATAAACATCTGTCCCTATCATATCTTGGCAATTTCTGCCGATCGTCTAAGAACAATCCATATATGGAGATTATAAAAATATTCAATGATTGCAAAAGAAAAAAATAATAAAGGGAAAAGAGAAAGAATCCGACGGCTGTGAAGATTTAGGACCATGTTGAATGAGACATTTAGGGTCCGTTTGATAGCGTAGAAAATGGGTGGAAAAGGAAAATATTTTCTAACTGTAGATAATTAAGGGTGTTTAATAGCACAAATTTTCTTGCAAAATGTTTTCAA